GGGGGGGGGGAGACCCAAAACTGCTTACATGAATTTCCAAGCGCTAGACCTGCCTCCGAGATCAGCCCAATAAGAGCTGTCAGGGGAGGCTCCCAGCTCACTTTTCCACATCACTTCACAGTTACGTTTGGCAGGCAGGCACGTTGGAGCGCTCAGACCCGGAATGAGTGGATTTATTTGGAATATCCCTGCTTTCCTGGAGATGTGCTGCTGCCGATGATATGTGCAAAGGGAGAAATTAATAACTGCACTTTAGTATGCAGGTACAGAAAGCTGAGAAGCTAAGTAACCAGCCTCTCCTCTAGCATCAGCAGCCTCAAAAAGCATGAAAAGAAAATCTGGAGAATCCTGTCTGTTCACAGGGACTGGCTAATATTTTTTACCTCACCCTCTTAATCCATTTGTGAAGTGGCTGTTAGCAAGCTGTTTCCTTGGTCCTTGGAAGAGTGAGTATTCATTTTATTAATATTATTTATGTCTCGCTGGCAGAGGCTCGCTCTCTGTAGGTTTCTTTTCGACTTAGTGTCTGCTTTTTTGCAAAGGGCACTATGTGAGCGGTTTCCTTATTAACAGATAGGGCATTAGACTGAACTGTAGCGGCTCATTAAGTCAGATCTTTTGAAATTTCTGATAATGAAAACGTCATGAGATGGTAGTTAAGTTTTTTTTTTTTTTTTTTTCCTTGGGAGGAGGGATGGCGGTGTGGCTATTTCCCCTCCTTTTTCTTTTTTCTTATTTTTTCTCTTTTAACGGATTACAAAGACTTTAAATCACAGAGGGCTGCTTCTGAGGCTGGGGAATCCGTTTCTTCTCCTTGTTTTCCTATTTAGTACAATAAATCTCTGGGCTATTTCACCGTGTTGAATAGATGCAGGGCTGCATTCATGCGTTGAAATAGATTGCAGTTTTCGTGCTGAGAATAAAAATCACCCACCAGTCAGATATGTAGATGAGGGAGGAGGAGGCTAAATGGTACGGTAGCTTCCTTTCCCACTTTCAGAAAGGAAACTATCCCAGAAATACGGTTCTTCCTCTTTGAGCCGCAATCAGAATGAATCTTTAGCTGTGAGTAGGCAAGAGTCCTCCCTGTCCCACAAGTTGTTTTCCTTCCCTTTCTTTGGTTGACTAAATAGATACTGCAGCCAGGTGAAACTTCCAAGGAGGAGAAAGCCCTTTAGCTCCAGTTGCTCGTTACTTGCATCATTGCCAAGGCTCCTGGACAGGAAAGGCAGGAGGCTGTTGACCCCTGAAGCTGGCTGTTCCATGAAACGCCTCATCTCCTGTTGGAGGAAGGCTAGAGGAATAAGGTGTCCTTGCGTTCTGCTTGGTGGTGGTATCTGCTGACTATCTGCATCCCAGTCGGGAGACCCGAGCTGTCAGACAGCATCCCTGCTAGACAGTTTCAGACCAGTAAGAATACTGTGCTTGTCTGGGGAGCCAAGGATCAGCGTACAGCCCTGCAAAGCTTCAGAGCAGAAAACCTGTGGCAGTTTCTCTGTGGATATTACAGAAGAGATTAACTCAAATCCTTATTTAGGCACTGCCTACCGCCATGAAGGTGACACCACTTAACATACACAGGAATTCCTTTGTGGTTGGTGGCTGCTCAGTCATGTCTTGAATCTCTCTCAGCTTAAACAGTGTGCGTTTAGTACCAGACTAAATAGAATGGAATCTATCCAAACTGGCACATAACGGTGTTACAGAAACCTGTTCTTGCTGCCAACAGGTATCAAACTCCATATCCTCACTTCTCCCTCCCTCTTCCTCTCTTTCACACACGCACACGCTGTCTTTCATGCAGGCAACTCTATCTTCCCTTCCTCTGAATGTGGGAATAAATACTTGTACAACTTTCATAAAGGCTGACACTTTTAAACAGCCAACTTGATGAGCACATAAAGGGCTAGCCGTTTGTCTCTGTGAGTATCACAGCCAGACCTTTTTTTTGGGCTGCTGATTGTAAGAAGTCAAATAACATTAACTGTTTATTGTTTCAAACCTACTACATTAGTGCTTAATAGAAGGGAAGCTAACAGCTGCTCGCTTCAGTTTCAATTAAAGAATATAGCTGATAACTACTAAAGCTATAGATAAAGAATCCTCTTAACTTCACTCATCCTCTTTTATAAATTCGTAAAGAGTTTCTTTGCAATAAGGATAAAGAGAAATATGTAATACTTTTGTATGACTGATATCATTCTCTGCGTTCAATACCAGATTGTTACGAACAAAAGGATGTTTCAGAGTTGAATTCTCAGTAAATAAATAAGGAATACATTCAGAAGACTGAAAAATTGCCCAGCGAATGTTTTATCTGTCTTAAATAAAATGATAAAGTGGCTAAAAGCAGTTAGTATTTTGCATAGCTGTGAAATTATCAAATTTACACTCATAAGATGAGATAGCATCAAAAAACAAAAGCTCTCTGTAGTGTCACCTCCTGGCCTAACTGTGTGAGCATTTGCAACAGAAAAACTCTAGGAAGGGAACTGAGTTTTATGTAATATTCTAGTCTAAGGTTTTCATCTGTTCAGCCTTACTGTTCTAGCTCGCTGAATACCAAATGAGCACAACCTTCTGCTATCTTCTTCCTAGGGTTGCTATTTATTAACACTCCATTCTTTTTGTACAACTTAAAATATCTTGACTTTAAAGAACTTGACTTGAAGTTCATGTGACTGTTTGTAAGTTGAGGGCCTTGAGTGTCCTTGGAGGTTCAACTGTTTCATGAAGGTAACTTCTTAAGATATGCAGATGAACAATTTGTTAACTGAATAGGCTGCTAGCCAAAAAAGTAACTTCGGACATATTTTACGTCATTAAATAATTATTAAAAATATACGCACTTCTTTAATAAATGCAACTAGTTTTAATAAGAAGTACCCATATGTAGGGCTTCTTTTTTTCTACCTTAAAAAAAAAAGGCTTTTCATCTCTGTGAGATACAATCCTCCTTAGGCAGTCACTTGGTACTTTTTAAGTATACTTGTTCCCATCAACTTCCATTACTGAAGTCCAAAACAGAGGTGGAAATGGGGCAGTGGTCCCACAATCATCTTTAAATTGACTCACTTTGTCCTTTGTAGCATCTAAAATTTTTCCAATAATATTGCACCTTAACTAAATTAATAGATTAATTTACTCCTGGATATTTTATTTGTATCACTGTTATTATGTACAGCAGTCTTCTTAGACTGGAAAAAATATATTTAAATTCTAATCTGCAGTATATGGAACTACAGATCTGTTACCCCTAGAAGTACATTCTCTTTTTTTTTTTTTCTATTTTTTATCATGCACTTGCAGATTTCATCTTTTAAAATGTTGTTTCCACAAGACCTAAGTGCCCTACAGACTTTAGCTGGGACTTTTTCAGACAGTTATTGGAATTAGGGGCCAGGATCCTACCCGCTTGGCCCTTGATACATACAGATATTTTCATTTCCAAAAATGAAGAGACTTTGAAGAAAAAGAATACTGACCTCTAAATTTCTGTGAACAAGAAAGAGGTGTAAATGCATACCGTAAGCTCTTGATGCTGCAGATCTCTAAGTGATGATTATGAATACTCTGTAATTGAAAACAACTGCTGATGCTACGCAGTATGAACAGGTATTTTTTTACAGCATATCCAATAATCATTAAGATAATGTATATATTAGCAATATTCCTTTTGTGATCTCTTTTCCATTATGGCATCATTAGAGTCTGGCCTTTTGGATATGCTATTAATAATGACAATTGTGTGTTTACAGTATGCACCTGGGTTGCATCTTCATTCCTGAAAATTATGAAAGAATCCTTGAACCCTGAGTTTAAAATAATACAAACCAAATTCTATCAGTGGGAGGGAAATGCTAAGGCGTTTTCAACTTGGAACGTTTTAAGCATTGTTGCTACCATAAGATCGCATCAATAGAATTAAATTAGATGACAGAAACTCAACGTTTTTCTTAGTGTGGTTGCCATAGAAAAGGTGGTTCACTTCATAGCTTTCTGAGCAGTAGATAGAAACAGAATAAAATAAAATACATTTCAGTCAGAGATTTCAAATATTTATTTATTTTGTCTCAGATAGACCCCGTATGCTTTTTGTTCTGGAGTCTGTTCATCACGTTTCTCATTTTTCCAACCAAATAAATAACACCAACACAGTGGCATTTCAACTATTAATGCAATTTTGTTCCCGAAACATACTGAGGACTTGTGGTATCTGAAGTGGTACATGTAAGCTGAGATGGAAAGATGACTTCTGAACCAATTTTGTACCAGCAGGTAGAGTTTAAAGCATCTGACACTTCTCAAGAAACTGATTCCTACTTGCCTTAGTCATTAGAGTAATCTTTATCAATCAGTTGCAGTGATAATATTCACAGCATTGATTCTCCAAGGTTTTGAGCGTGATCTGTCTTGTGGAAATCTTTTGGAATTGAGGCCGATCAGCACCTTGGCTTGGACTTTGAATTAGTTATGTGAACCAATCTTAGACCAGAATATGCAAAACCTTCCTTGAGAAGTGTCTACT